AGCTTGGCTCAGTGGATAGAGTGTCGGCCTGTGGACTGAAGGGTCCCAGGTTCAATTCCAGTCAAGGGCATGAACCTTGGTTGCAGGCACATACCCAGTAGGGGGTGTACAGGAGGCAGCTGATTGATGTTTTTCTCTCATTGATGTATCTAACTCTCTATTCCTCTCCCTTCCTCTCTGTAAAATATCAATAAAATATATTTTAAAAAATAAATTAATTTTTAAAAAAATAAAAATAAAAAAACTACTACATATGTAAGGAAAATTAGGAAGTGATTATGCATGTGCTGAGAAAGGCTCAGAAAAAATCTGAGAAAACATTTAGTTTACCTGTCAGGCCGATCATCAGCACAAAGTAACCCTATAAAAATCCAAAAACAAAATCTATATATATATATAAAACAAACACCTATAAAAGGATGGCAATCTGATTCCCATAGTTTCCCCATTATTAGATTCAAATGTTCAGTTCAACAACAACAAAAATCACAATGCATACAAAGAAACAAGAGAATGACCCATTCAAAGAAAATGTAAATCGATAAAAAGTATCCCTGAAAAAAAAATAAAAACACCTTGAGAAAAGATCTACTAGACGAAGACTTTAAAACAGCTGTCTTTAAAAGAAAATCTGGTGGCAAGTCGTTGGTTTTTAGTTTTGCTGTTCTCTTTTCCTTCGTGAAGTGGCAGACACAGAAAGGCAGATCTTTCTGAGTACTCTGATGGGCAAGGCTAGCACTCTCAAGTTTGAGCCCAATGATACCTTTGAGGATGTCAAAGCTAAAATTTAAGACAAGGAGGGCACCTTTCCAGGAAAACAGCACCTGCTTTTGGGGGCATGGTTGAAGGAAGACCCCATTCTGTCAGACTGTAATATCCAGAAACAGCCTGCCCTGCACTTGGTGCTTTGCCTGTGGGGTGGAATCTATGAACCTTTTCTGCCAACTCCCCTGAAATACAGTGGCTATATGACCCAAATGTTATGCTTGCCTGCAACCCAGTACTATCAACTGCTTTAAGAAGAAACGTGAACATACCAACAAACTGTGACTCAAGGAAATGCTCAAAAGAGGCCTTTCCACTTGGTCCTACAGAGGAAGGAAGCCTTCAGAACTTATTCTATGAGAACAGCATTACTGTGATGCCAACAACAGAAAAAGACACTGCAAGAAAAGAAAGCTACAGAATAGTATCCGTTATGAACCTTGATGCAAAAATCTGCAACTAATTACAGCAAACAGAAATCAGAAAGATTATCCACCATGCACAAGTGAGATTTATTCGCAAATGCAAGGGTGGCTCAACATATGAAAATCCATCTATGTAATCTGCCATATCAACAGCATGAAGCGTAAATCCACTTGATCATTTCAATTGAGCATTTGTCAGGATTCAACATTCTTGCATAGTAAATACTCAACAAACCAGGAACAGAAGGTAAGTACCTTAAGATAATGCATGCCATAAATGAAATACCTACAGCAAACATCCTATTCAGTGGTTTAAATCCAAAAGCTTTTCTTCTAAGATCAGGAATAATGCAAGAATGCCCCCTTTTACCATTTCTATTCAACATAGTACTGGAAGTTTAGTCAGAGAAACTAGAGAAGAACTAAAAGGCAGCCCAGTCCTAACTGGTTTGGCTCAGTTGATAGAGTGTCAGCCTGCGGACTTAAAGGTCCCAGGTTCAATTCCAGTCAAGGGCATGTACATTGGTTGTGGGCACATCCCCAGAGGGGGGTGTGCAGGAGGCAGCTGATCAATATCTCTCTCAATGATGTTTCTTACTTTCTATCCCTCTCTGTAAAAAATCAACAAAATGTATTTTTTTAAAAGGCAGCCCAATGGGTTATGAAGATATAAAATTATCACTGTTTGCAAATAATAAAACTCCCCTAGACAGTTTGGCTCAGTGGATAGAGTGTCAGCCTGAGGACCAAAGGATCCTGGGTTCATTTCTAGTCAAGGGCTCATACCTTGGTTGCAGGCTCATCCCTGGCCCAGGCCCTGGTCAGGGCTCCTCCAGGAGGCAACCAATTGATGTATTTCTCTCACATTGATATTTCTATATTTCTCTCTATCTTTTCCTCTCTCTTCCACTCTCCCTAAAAAATCAATGGAGAAATATCCTCAGGTGAGGATTAAAAAAAAGAGAGAGAGGAAATCCTATAGCCCTAACCGGTTTGGCTCAGTGGATAGAGAATGATGCACGTAAACACACACACACACACACACACACACACACACACACACACAGCTGTTAGAACAAATAAATTAATGCAGCAAAGTAGCAGAATACAAATTCAATATCAAAAATCAGTTGCTTTTTTATAGTGTATCACATTTACCCTGTAAATGCACATTTTTATAAATGTCTAAAAATATGCTACTAGAGGCCTGGTGCACGAAATTCATGCAAGGGGCTTGGCCCTCGCAGCCCCTCCTGCTGCCTTGGCTCTTGCAGCCCCAGCATCATCCAGAAGGTTGTCCAGATGGTCGTCCAGAAGGTCATTTAGCTGGTCAATTAGCATATTAGCTTTTTATTATATAGGATTAAAAGAGTCCGAGAGAAAAAAGGCTACTACTATTAAGTGCGCAGTATTTGTTTTTGAAACCTTCACTGCTTTATAGCTGCCTCAAAACTCATGTTTTCCAACAAAAGGATTTTGATCAATATTATGGTCCAGGCTAACCAGGTTAATGTTCACCGGGTAACACTTTCCAGAGTTATCTCCATGAACAATATCTTTGGTGGGTAAACCTACCTACCAATTCTATAAGCCCTCCTTCAACTCTAAGTGCTGGCCATTTTAAATAGGATATAATTTGCTGTTAAAGTAATGTCATCAAGATTACTACAAGTTTAATGCTAATGATAGGCTTATGCTTGCATGTAGTATTAGAAGTTTCCTTTCCTTCACTTTTAATTTCTATTCCGTACACATCTTCTCAGTTTGCATAAAAAGTCCAAGAGTTGATTGGCTGGAAGTACAACTTGTCACACAGAAAGCAAGATGAACTCAACATTATGGGAATGCTGAAGAGAAGCAAACCGAAATAGTAACATTTACTGTATTCCTCTAAGGAGAAACTTACCCCTCATTACAAATATAGTGAGCTTGATAACCAAACTTGTTACCTTCGGTTACATAAGATATAAAGACTATTCGTCCATTGAGGGGCTCTCCTAGCTGCGGACATGTCTTTTCTAAAAGAAAAATTTCAAATGTGTTGTTATATGCCAAATTCAAAGCAAGTGAATACAAATCAAAATTCGATACTGGTCTTTTAAATGCATTTAACTAAAGACCAAACTTAAGATTCACATTTACTCTGGCAAGCAATTGCCAAGAAAAAGATTCCCGGGAGATTTTCAAAGACATTATTATCTAGAATCTCCATTCCCATGGAAAAACCATCATGGTACTAGTGGACTGTGCAGTCTAAAATGTGTGACAATACCCAGAACAATACGAATAAAAGCTGTGTGTGCTTACCTGTACACCCCGCCCAGTTTAGTGAGTTCTCCTTTTTACTTTCTGTTTTATTTTATCCTGATTTTACCTTTCAAACTTAAACTTCATCTTGTTTTTTATCCCCTTCATTTCTAGTTTTGTTCTCTCCCATGCTATACTCTACATTCCATTCATTTTCCTCTATTCCAAATAGCATGCACAGTGTCCTTCAACTCTAGTTTGAAGCCTATTTTATACTTTATCCTTCTTTAAAAATATTCCTTTGGTGTTCTCCTTACCACCACGGTTCCCTTTCCTCTCTCATAGAAATGAACTGTTTAATGATCAGTAACCAGAATACTGATCAGGAGACTGTACCAGAAGACAGTGGCAATATGAGCCCTGCAAACTCTACACACACAGGAGGGCAGAGCCTCTCTAGCCCTCCGCGGTCCCTGCAGTAGCTTTTCGGTACCACTGAAAGGCCATCCTAAGCCGGACTCCACCTGCACCACCCTGCTCCGCCAAGCCCGTGCTTCCTACCCGACCCACAAAGCAAACCTCTCCCGCCCTCGGCTCCGGTGGGCCCGCTCCCCGACTCTCTCCATTGCCTCCAGAGCTCTCACCTTTCCCGTCCCTACCAGAGCACATGGGCAGTAGGAGCCCTAGGGCCACCAACAGGATGCCAGGGGAGCGCCAGAAAGAGAAGGCGCTCGCGTGGCGCTGAGGAGGTGGCCAGCGCGGCTCCGAAGATGCCATCATTTCCCAAGGGATCGGTAGGAAACCTGAGGGACAGCAAGCGTTTTTTACCTTTTTGAGAGCAGATGTCAGACGCAACAATCCCCATTCAAAGGGTCCAGTGCGGTACCGCTGGTGGGCGTGGCCACAGTAGTGACGTCAGGGTCGGGCGGGGCCAATGGCAGGTGCAAGGCGGGTCCCCGATGCGGGGCGGGGCGTTAGCCCCTGAGGGAATGGGGCGTGGCCTGGCCAACATCTAACCCACCTGGTGGCTGGCAGCTCAGGCTCCGCCCTCGCCCACCTGGGCTGACCCTTTCCTCCCTGCCTGGAAGCACAGCCTGGGTTTGCAGGAAATGGTGGTTCTCCGCTGACTTCATGAACAGTTACCATTTTCAAAGGCTGCCCAGGTGAGGCTGCTCTCCTTCAGACAGAACTGTTTTCCTCGGAGGCGCCATTAATAGCATGGACACCTCCAACAGATTCGGAGGAAGTACACCCCTGCCCCCTTTCTTCCCTGTCACTGTCCTTCAGTTCTATTCCCTTAGCTCTCCACCTGTGTATTGAGAACTTGCCATGAGCAGGGCATCGCGCCAGGTCACGTGGGTTCCAAACCAGATAGGACCCCGCTCCTGCCTTCCCAGGAGCCCATCGCCTGTGCATGTTCTGGGTCACGCTGCCAGCACAGAGGTGCCTGGGATCAGGGCTGTTTCGGGTGCTGGTGTGCCGCATGGAAGAGGGCACCAGTAACCCCACAGTCACCTGGGTGGGCTTCCTTCTGTGGAGCTATGAGGCCACCCTGCCCTTTTGTCTGGGCTGCCAGATCTCCTGTGGCCAGACTCACAGGGGTCCCTGTGATTCCAGGAGAGAAGGAATCTCTGGGGAGATTCGCCAGCCCTCCCTCTGAACTGGGACAGTCTTCCTCCCTCCTTTTGCTCCTCTTTCCAGAGGCTGGGAGGAATAATGCCATTGGCATGCAGTCCTGGGTTCCACTGAGGATGCATGAGGTTGGGGACAGGGTGCTGGTGCCATCTTCCAGGGATGGCTGTGTTGGCCCTGCAGGCACTCTGCTTGGAGCTAATAAAAACTTTCTTTTCTTTTATCTTTTTGTTATTAGTAAACAAAGCAGATCCACTGCCAGGGTGACACTGAGAGGGAGGAGAGGGTACTGATAAGGGGCTTGAAGGGAGGTCTGAATGATATCCTTGGCAGTTAAATCATTTTAGGCTGTAGGTTCCATAAAGATCCATGATTCTCTGCAGAACTTAAACCTCAAACCACACAAATTTTTCTTACAGTCATAATAGCTAAAGCAATTCTGCCCAGTCTTCTTATGATGACATTAAAAGCAGCTGGAAATATTCTTAGCAAGAAATGCAATTCTGACAGGACACTAATGTAGACACATTTTTAAAAAAGGCAGCATACAATACAGAGTGCAAACAAAAGCTTCATAAAAGTATGTCAAGAGTGAGAAGCACTGCCCAGCCGGTGTGACGCAGTGGTTGAGTGTCGAACCATGAACCAGGAGGTCATAGTTCGATTCCGGTTAGGGCACATGCCTGGGTTTCAGACTCATTCCCAGTTTGGGGCATGCAGGAGGCAGCCAGTTGATGATTCTCTCTTATCATTGATGTTTCTATCTGTCTCTTCCTCTCCCTTCCTCTCTGTGAAGTCAATAAAAACGTAATTTTTTAAAAAGAGTGAGAAACACTAATGTGTTCAAGAAACATGTTTAATTTACTCTCTTTGGCTGACGTGAAGATATCTGTACACACCGGTGCCAATTACTGCAACGCCAAGAACTACAAGAAACCAGAAAACAAGTGACATGTAACTCTAAAAACTGACACCAAGGTTCCAATCTAGTAGAAGAAATTAATGTTGGTTACATTTCAGTGGAAAAAAATACTATTTTATTAAGTGCATATACATTCATAATCTATCTTGACTCGTCACTGTCTAAATGCAATTCCCTGGAATCACTTAGAGTCCACAGTAAGTCAGACAAGAGTTCTTGCTTAATTTAGAATATTACCCAAAGCATATTTGGGATGAAAACTCATATGACTAATCATATATACATAAAAAATATGTGGTATTTAGGGTTTGTTATTAAATAAAAATAGGGAATATAAAAAAATACACAAAAACGCACTTCTCCGCAGTACTATTTTAAGTGGTATCCAGCTTTGAGACACTTACTTGCTGAAGAACAATCAGAGCAATGAGTCCTTCACCTAGAAATAAATAAAACCAGTTTGAAGATAATTGAGCATCTGTGAGTCTCCAATAGTTGATACATTTAAATTTCGGTCAGACCATCTACAAACTACATCAAAGAAAATGTTTATCAGTGTAGTTCAGCGTGACTGCTGATGCATCCAGCTCCTTTTGATCACAGAGCCTTCTAATTTGACCGCAGGCTTAGGGCCCAGCAATGTTTTGTGTTGTAGCTACCACACTAGGTCATTTAGTAAAGGTTATTATTAGAATAATTAGAATTCATTATATTAGAGAAAATTTGTTTTAAAAACATGGTATCTCATTAAAATTGGTTTAGTTCCATAATTAGTCTACCATTTCTTACAAAATTTTTTTTTTCACCAAAAGTTAGTCTGTGGAATAAGTCATAATGAGGCTATCTTATTCTGTCACACAGATGTTATCTGCAGTCTTCACAAACAAAACTTTATCTTATCATCAACCCCTCCTTCTACCTTTCTCCAAAGGAACAGTAAGCTATAGTCATACTTATTAAGGAGATTCTAAGGATGTAAATGAAATACCAGGGCACATGAATAAAAATTATGCTTAGAAACTTAAACAGACATTTTTTACTATCCAGAGAGCGATAAAAAATACTACCACATCTTAATTCTTGGTAATGTTAGTAGTATCTCTGCTTCTAAGCTGCTAGAGATTTTGTTAAATTTCTGTAAGTCAGAGCATACAATATTAGGTTCTCTTGTACACTTTTTATTTTTATAAAAAATTATCAAGTGCTTAACATCTTTTTTTGATTTTTTTTATTGACTTCAGAGAGAAAGGGAGAGGGACAGAGAGATAGAAACATAAATGATGAGAGAGAAGCATGGATCAGCTGCCTCCTGTATGCCCCCTACTGGGGATCAAGCCCACAACCCGGGCATGTTCCCTGACAGGAAATCGAACCCAAAACCTTCTGGTTCATAAGTTGATGCTCAAACACTGAGCCATGCCAGCCAGGAAAGTGCTTAAAATCTTAAGATGGCAATGGATTTACTGATACAATGACAGTTTGACCACACTATTCAGGGGATTACCTAACAAACCTAAGGTGAATTTCATGAAAAGGTTAACCTTGGCGGCATAGGTAAACACCTGAAAATGCTGCCTTGCACAACCACTTCAAAAATACAACTAAAAGACAAAACGGACATCATCCAGAACCACAGGAAGGCTGGGTGAGTGGAAATTCTACAACTAGAAGGAAAGAGAAAAGCACACTGAGACTCAGAGGAGGTGCGGAAGTAAAGTGCAGAAGTACGGAGGCACCCGTGGAAAGGGTTGGCAACTGAGGAAGCGGTTGTCTTTTTCAATTGGTAGAGAGTCACAAGCTCCTGATTGCTCTAAATTCCAGTTCCGGGCGAGTCTCTGGGGACCCAGACCCATATGGGGAGAAACTGGACTGTCTGGCATCAAGCGGAACTCGAGGGCGGCTTTCTCTCAGAGATGCTTGCAGCCATTACCCTGGGACACTGAGACCCGGGGCCTTTTAGGGCAGGACTGGGGATCAGCAGTTGCTGTTTGCCCCACCCTGTTGATTCCCCACCCAAGCTGTGCACAGAGGCTTTTGCATATGAATGACCTGGACCTTTGCAATCTAAAATTACCTAACAAACTGCAGCTGGGTCAGAGAGACCCAGA